ACTTGGAAAAAGAGTCGATGATTGTGAGGAAAGTTTCTCGATTACAGGAAAATGTGTCAATATGAAGGATGTCGAAAGGCTTTTGTCCTAGAAGTGGACCTTTTAGGGGTAATTTATATGGGTGTCTCTCGTATTTATTACGAAGACAAATATCGTAGTGGTTAATATGCTCTGAAATTGTAGAACGCATATTAGGCCAGTAATAGTGTAATTTTAAATGACTAAGTGTTTCGAGAATACCATTGTGATTTTCCTTATGGTAATTTTGGAGATGTCGTAATTGGTCTTCGGGTCTCTCTACATCTTGAACTCGTTTGGTGCAGAAGAATATTTGGATGTTTTGGTTATAAGTATTACGGACGAAGTCGGAAATATATTTTTGGATATCGGGATTGTCAGTCAGAATGTAGTATCGTTGATTGGGGGCTATAGTTTGATGGAGAGCAGTCTTGATGTCGGTTTTCCAGTCTTTTTCGGAAAGAGTGATGAGATATTCGTGTTTGGACTTGAACTTCAGACGGTATTTGGTGTTAAAATCGGTGCCTAGATTTATTATGATCTGATTTGAAAAATGATTAATAGGTTCTTCTGAGAATGGGACGAGAGCAACGGGATTTTCATGAGAAGAATGTTGGGTTGATTGACCAGTTTCTTTTTCGAAAGATTGGTTAACGAAGTCATCTACATCAAAGTCGTCATCATCATCTGGAGGGTTGGCACACAGAGACTCGGATTCGTGCATATTTATTTCGATGCGACTTAAAGCATCGGCGACGACGTTTTCCTTTCCTTTCTTGTATTTAATTTCGAAATTGTACTCCTCAAGTTTGAGTTTCCATCGGACAAGACGAGAATTGGGTTCCTTAATTTTGTATAACCAGACTAAGGGGTTGTGATCTGTTTCCACAGTAAATTTTACACCATATACATAGGAGCGGAATACTTTGCAGGAATCGAGTATGGCAAGAAGTTCTTTTTCGATTGTAGAATAATTTTTCTCTGCTGAATTTAGGGTGCGAGAATAATAGGCTATCGGATTTCCTTTCTGTGTAAGGACAGAACCGATCGCTATGTTTGAAGCGTCTGTAGTGAGGGTAAATGGTAGGGAAAAATCAGGGTATTGGAGAATAGGGGAGTTACTGAGAGCGGATTTACATTTCTCGAAAGATTCAATATATCTGGGATCTTCGATATCGATTTTAGTACCTTTTCTAGTGCAGCGTGTCATGGGGTATGTGATTTTGGAAAAGTTCGGAATGAAACGTCGGTAGTATCCTACCAGACCAAGAAAGCTTTTGATTTCTTTCACCGTCTTGGGTATAGGAAAGTTTTCAATGGCTGAAATTTTTGAAGGATTTGGTTTTATGCCTTCAGGTGTTATGACGTGGCCTAGAAACGCTACTGACTTACTCAAGAATTCGGATTTATCGGGCTGAATCTTGAGGTTAACTTCTCGGAATTTTTGGAAAATCTGTTTAATATGAATTAAATGTTCCTGGAGGGATTTGGAAAATATGATGACGTCGTCCATATAGACAAAACAAGATTTGTATAAGAATTCTCTTAGGATTTCATCCATCATTCTCTCGAAAGTGGCTGGTGCATTTCGTAATCCGAAAGGCATTCTAAGGTACTCGAAATGACCGTTAGGAACTGTGAAAGCTGTCTTTTCTATAGAATCTGGGTGGACTTCGATTTGGTGGAAACCCTGTGCCAAATCAAGGGTGGTAAAGTATGAACAGCGTCCTAGGTTGTCAAGAATTTCGTCAATGCGGGGAAGAGGGTATTTATCTTCGATTGTGTTTTCGTTAAGACGTCTATAGTCGATGACCATACGGAATTTTCTTTTACCACTTGCGACAAGTTTTTTCGCAACTATCCATACAGGGGCTGAGTAGGGACTTATAGAAGGGCGGATGACATTGTTCTGTAGTAATTTATTGATTTGGTCGGAAATTTCAGGTAGCATTGATTTTGGGTGTCGATAAGAGCGGGTGAAGATTGGTGTTTCATCTTTAGTTCGAATAACATGTTTTACAGAAGTAGTAACGGTTAAAGGAGAATTTTCTGTATGAAAAATATCTTTAAATCGATGACAAAGATGGAGGATCTTTTCTTTCTCTTCTGCATTCAAATGGTCTGTCCGTAACAAATTAAGATCAAAATAATTGTCGCCAGACGATGGGGGAGTGATTTCTTCGAAATCTGAAATGGATGTGGCGGAGATTGGTTGTGAGAAGTTGATTTCAACATTGTTGGGACGTGGAATTTCTATGAATCCGTCTTCAGCTACATGAATTGATGCTGGAACTATTACTTGATTTTCATGTATAATATCAGAAATGACAACTTCGCCATTATTAATGGAGACCGGAATACGTAGTCGTTTATTACTACGGTAAATTATCTTAAATGGAATAGAGATCTGTAATTTTGGAATAGAAAATACATGTGTTTCGTAATCAATATTGGCTCCTAGTTGATCGAGTTCACCTGTACCTAAAAGTACATCGAAATCGTCATGCCAGTCGGCAATTCTAATTGTAAGGGCTTGCTGTATACCAATTTCTTCGAACAAAGGGTAGTAAAGATTGCGTGTATATGTTTTTGGGGTTTTCATCGATATGAGGGTAAAAGGTTCATAGAATTCATATTTCGAGTCGAAATTTTGAGCAGCTCTGGGAGTAATTACTGTATCAGAGCCACCGGAGTCGATGAGAACTTTTAATTTGGAATGTGGAAGGTAGAAGTAAGGAAGTTTCGTTGCTTTGGAAAAATTATTCAACTGAATGATTCTATGTTGGGTGCGGGTTCCATTGAGGCTGGTTCTAGAAAATTTTCCTCAGGAGAATCAAAGTTTTCGTAGCAATCTGTCTCAGGTATACAGTCTGCTTCGTTATAAGGTAAACTAGGCGGGGACTCGGGTTCACATTCAACATTATGATGGAACGTGCGGTAAGAGGACATAGACATTGGGGTAGGTTTGGAATTTGAAGATCTCTGGGAATGAATACCAGACATGGGAGTTGGTTTATATTGGTTTCGTTGGTCTTGTGAATTATTAGGCCTAGACGATGGACCAAAGACTTGACGATTTGTCGGAAAAGATTGTCTCTGTTGGATGGGCTTATTTATATCTCCAAAAGGTCTAGGGTGCATAGAATTTTGGTTGAAAGATTGATTAGACGAATTGGGCTGATTAAAATTACGATGGTATAGGTTATTGGGATTATTGGGTTTGTTCGAAGTATTGAAGTTGTTTGGATTGGGACGAGGTTGAGGTTTTTGGTAATCGCGGGGGTGATTCGTGGATTTCAAGTAAGACATGTATTGTTGTTGCTGTCTGTGATTGTCAAGAGAGATACACTTTTGGAGAGCATCATCTAAAGTATTCAATTCGAAATGAGAAAGATGGTCACAATAAGGGTTGTTGATGCCTGTGCAGAAAGTTCTTAGAGCTTGTTTCCGGAAAAATGAAGCCTTGAACTCTACTGCCTGGGCATTACTTTCACTTAATAAAACATGTTGTAAAAGGTCATTCAGTGCCAAGGTTATACGATGATGATAATCTTGGTAAGTCTCTGAGCGTTTCTGAACAGTTGTAGTTAATTGAGTTAACAAAATTTCTTCATTACGGTGGTCACCGTATTTTTGTAATAAAAGTGGTTTAATATCTGGCCACGAATTTTTATTATGAATGTTCAGAAAATCTCGAGCTTCACCTTTTACTTTGGATAAAATATGTGCATTAATAATATACAATTGTACTGCATCAGCTCCTTGTTGGTTGAAAAATGTGATTAAATTATCTACAGAGCTTATAAATGTAGAAAGATTATCTCCAACTTTAAATTCAGGAAGAGTATTACACAAGTTATTAACATCAGAGTTAGATATAACCATTTTTGTAGATTGTTCGAAAGTATTAGATGGGTTATCAACAATATCGTCTTCTGACCTCTTTGAATGTTTACTGTAGGGTTGAAATCTAGATTTGTTTTGCGACTTGTGTGAAAAATTAACTATAGCTTGAAATGAATCTTGAGGGTACTCAGAACTCATATGAAAAGGAAATGGACTTACAGGATGAGAAGAATCGCACTGATTTTCATCGCCAGTATGGTCCTCCAATTTCTCGGTGTTTCTTCGTGACCCCAGGTAGAAATCTGCCAAATCGTTAAGACGAACCGATGATCCTTCTTGGGTGGATGCCGTGCAGATATCCTGTTCGCAGCGCCAATTATGTTTCTCAGCCACAACAAGGAGTTTTTAAAAAATATTTATTTTGTAGACATGAACGTGTTACAAGTTGGAACGATAATGAATTAAAATATAAAAAGAAAAATAGTTTTAATAAAGGTTTCTGCTGTCGTTGCGACTGGCGGTGTCGTCTTGCTGACGCCTCGGGTTCTTGACCTATAACGCGCGTCGCATGACAGCACATTCTCAGCACACCGAGTGCCAGCATAACCGGAGCTAATCAGATTCATGTTTCAGCCACAGATAGAGCGGTACTGTACCGGACTATAATGCCTGCACTATTTTGCGAGAATGAAACTTTTGGCATCGTTATTCTGTGCATTTTGAATCTCTTGCCAAAAAATTTGATCTTCAGCGATGGGGTATGCTCATTAGACCGTATAGAACAAAAACCTTGACCTTTTTCTGACCCATAGGGCCGTTCTGTATTTTCTTAGCCTTAGCCAAAAAATGAGTTTTCTGTAAATGTACATTCCTTACACTATTTTGTAGGTTTTATTAAGAGTTTTTACTGTATCAGTGACGGTGTTATTTAATCCTATATTAGTTCTAGTAGAAATCTGGTATAAATTATCATGTGTTCTAGTTTCATTTTCATGCATATCATATGTGAAAAAAAATTGAAAATCATTTTACATTGTTGCAATTCCAACAGCTTATCTACTTTAATGACGTTCAATTCTGCGTACATATTATCCGTGTTGGCAAGTTGGTCATAGTTGAACAAAATTTTTAAAATTCTATTTTTCGAAACTTGTGCTTCTTGAAATAGTTTTACCACACATTGCCCAATTAGGTAACATATATCTTTTTACTGGATGTATCAAATATCTTTGTTTGAGTAGCTTATAGGTTGAAATGGATGTACTCACCTCTTGGTTCCAGGACATGTAATGTGACATGGCAGGGTCCATGTGCTCGGCCATGACGCTCATCCAATGGACCAGCCCTTGTGCGCCTTGACCTCCCACACCGCCCGCTTGGGGCCCCGAGGGGCTCCCTCCTGTCTGCCCGCCGTCCCATCCGAAGGCTTTCTGGAAAAAAAGAGAACCGCAAATAACAAAAATGTGAATAGCATTATATACATTTCTCTCACAATAAAACATTGTGTATATAATTAGTTCCTATGTCGCCTTATTGGATTTCACGACATTCTAGGAATTTTACTTCCCTCGTCAGTTGGCGAGGAAGTATTATAATCGCAAAAATTTCGAAAATGAGATGTCATGTTTTTTAGACGTACATGGCATATACACGTAGATTACGAAAAACAATTTCAGAAGGTCTGTTTGTCTGTCTGTCTTTCTCACTGACGTAGAATATACTCGTACACTTAGGGCGCGATTCACAATTGAAAAACAAAGGTTTACAATAAATGCTTTGGGATTTTGGGATAATGCTGCTTTCGTCAGATGGCACTTGTTCTGTAATACTTAGCACTTTGGGCAACATAGGAATTTTCGCTCTCATTTCATCTAGCAGGTATTGTAATCGCGAAAAATTTCGAAAATGAGACATATTTTTTTGATGTTATATATGTAAATCACGAAGAACCATATTAGTAATTTCCATCGGCATGACTTCGGTCTGTCTGTTTGTCAGGTATGTAACTCAGAAAGCAACGCTCTTATTTTGATGAAAATGTGAAACAAAATCACTGATATTCCAATGACAAAAAAGCTCGGTAGTTTTGAAAATCGATCCAGGCGATGTTATGTACAAAAAAGAAAAATAAAAAATCGCTCAGAGACGCTAAATAGTTGGGGGGTGGGAGATAGCACATTGCGAAAAACCATATCACTCAATTGGCCCGTCCATAGCTCGGATTTGTTCAAACAATATCACTACCATGTCCAGAACAAAAAAGCATAGTAGTTTTTGAAAATTGATCCAGTGGCGGCTGAACAGAGGAAATAAAAATAGCTCAAACTTCGTTTTCTGACGTTTGCGAATCTCTTGATAATTTTCAGAAATTTTTTTGTAGCTGTCATATTGCTGTCCGTCTAACTGATTAATTGCCAAACTGATAACGAATTCAACACATTTGGCACATATTTGTCGGTGCGATGTTGCCGGAATACTAAAATAGCAGGAGAGCATCATCGGCGTTGCATATAATCAAGAAAAAATGCACTTTACGGCATCCAAAATTGCCACCGACCATTAAGATGCAAAGATACCGTACTGATATCTGTCGTCCGATCGGCTAATTTCTGAAATTTTCGATAGTCGAGACGCGGAAAATTAAGACTCATTATCCTCAACAAGAATGGTACATAATGGATGTTATATTACAGTTATAACATACCAGTAATATATGTAAATGGCATCTAGTTCAATTATTTTTTATGCGCCAGCACCCATTGACAACCTAATGCTCATACCACCAGTAGCGGCTCCGAAGGGAAGGCAATGATTCTTATATGAAAGGAGTACCCTACTCAATTATTCGGAATCCATATTCTTAATATTCTTAGGAGCATTTTAGTTCCAAATGCTTCTTTTTCATTGGTGATTTATATGATCATGGCCACTATGGTAATTTTGTCTCCGAGCGCAAATAAAAAAATAAGCTTTTGTAGCTAAGCCAAGACGTATTTCTTGATTAAACTGGGAATTAGGAGCATATGTTACACAAATCCTATAATGTTTCTTACAAAATAAGTATACTAAGTGACATATAAATCCGAACACCCAGTTTAAATGGTTTTATTTTAATAAAAGTTGGTGAATGTATTTATCTTACTGTAAATAACAAGTGAAACAATTTTCAGCCTTATCAGTTGGACATTCCGGTTTTTATACTGCTTTTTTTTAATTCACTAACGCTCTAAAAATGAATATTTCAGCCGCAGTAAAGAATCAACGTTGGCGGATTTTGGTTCTTGACATCCTTTACGATTGGTTACGATGCCTAGAGTACGGAGACCTGTACGATTTCGTCAACTTAGTGAGTTTGATAGGGGCCGTATAGTGGGACTTCGGGAAGCTTCGGGCAATTGCAGTTAGGTGTTGTCAGGCATGGCTTCGAGAAGGCCGTACGCAAGGAGCAAGGGGCACTGGACGCCGCCGTAGAACAACAGACCGTGAAGATCGCCGCCTAAGATTATTGGCCTTAAGGGACCGTTTCTCCACTACCAGGTCCATTGCAAATGAATGGTTTGCAGAACACGGAAGACCTATTGGCATGCGAAGTGTTTACCGACGAATGAGAAGTTTTGGCTTGTTTTCATACCGGCCACACTGGGTCCTCCCTTTAACTCGAGAACACCGACGTAATCGCCTTGAGTGGTGCAGACAACGGTCACTCTGGGATCAGGAATGGAACAGTATTGTCTTTAGTGACGAGTCTGGATTTTGTTTAGGCATGCACGATGGTCGTGCCACTGTTGGAGTTATGGTTTGGGGTGCGACAGCTTATGGTTCCAGGTCACCTTTAATCTTCATCAAAGGTAACATGAACGCGCAGCGTTATATCCACGAAGTTCTAGAACCCCATCTTTTACCCTATCTTAACACCCTGGCAGATCCAACTTTCCAACAAGATAATGCCCGACCACATGTTGCAAGAGTCACAATAGACTTCTTTCAACATAATGATGTCACATTGTTACCATGGCCACCAAGATCTCCCGACTTATCCCCAATTGAGCACGTGTGGGATATGATGGGTAGGAGATTGCTCAATTTGCAACGTCCTCCTCAGACTCTAGGAGCACTTCGAGAGGAATTGGTGGTTGCCTGGAATGAGATACCACAGGAGGACATTGATCACCTGATCAGAAGCATGCCTAGGCGCGTTGGAGAATGCGTAGCACATCAGGGTGCATCCACACATTATTAAAGGTCAAAGGGCTTTAAAGCAGTGCAACCATTTTGAAATTTTTATCAATTACTTATTATGCCTCGTTAAGTACTTATACAAAATTTTATTAAAATAAAACCATTTAAACTGGGTGTTCGGATTTATATATCACTTAGTATATTGTATAGAAATGATAGATGAATGAGTGGAAAAACAATTTAATTTTCTTAAAAAATGTTGACAAAGAATATCGCTTATGCACTACAGATGTTCAATTGTACCTAGTAGCGATGTTATATGTGAAACTTCTTTTGAATAATGTTTTGTTGTGCGGTGAAACTCTCACAATTTGTGTCTCAAAGGTCTAGTTCCACATCGGCACTAAAAACAATTTTTTATCCAAGGTATAGGGTTGTCCAATAGGGACGCAGGAAAGTATACGTCAATTTAACATAGACGCCATCTTTGTTTTCTGTCACCGACATGTCCTTTTGTTAGTTGAATGTTTACCATTGATCGCTATGGAGTCGTATTCGATTGAAGACCGCATTAAAGTTATTCAAGAGCACTACAAAAATGGTGCAAAAATAAAAAACACGTTTCGCGCGCTTCGTGAACATTTCGGTCGCAACAACCGCCCAAACGAAACAACCATCGGTCGTCTGGTGCGTAAATTCGAGGCAACAGGTACTGTGGCAAATCTGCCAGGCTCTGGCCGGCCAAGGAGCGTTCGCACACCGGAAAATATTGCTGTTGTGAAGGAGAGTGTGAGAGACGATCCGAAACAATCAACAACGCGTCGATCCCAAGAATTGGGCATTTCGAGAGTCAGTTTGCTCCGCATTCTCCACAAGGATTTGAATGTACACGCCTACAAGATCCAATTGACGCAAGAGCTGCGTCGGGCCGACCATTTTTCGCGCCGAACGTTCTCAGATTGGCTCCTTGAACACCGCCAAATTGATGCCAATTTTTCATCAAAAAGCATGTTCAGCGACGAAGCGCATTTCACTTTGAATGGGACGGTAAACAAGCAAAACTGCCGCATCTGGGCGAACGAAAATCCCAGTGAGTATCAAGAGCAGCCGATGCATCCTCAAAAAGTGACTGTGTGGTGTGCATTGTGGTCAAAAGGCATCATCGGACCTTACTTTTTCGAAAATGCGGCTGGGGACGCCGTTACCGTCAATTCTGAGCGATATCTCGTGCTGATAGAGGACTATTTTTTGCCGCAACTTGAAGGAATGGATATGGACGATGTTTATTTCCAACAAGACGGTGCAACATGCCACACAACCATCGTCAATATCCATCGATTGCAGTCCTTCTTCGGTGATCGCGTGATTTCGCGCAGAGGAAATGTGCCATGGCCACCAAGATCGTGCGATTTGACTCCCTTGGACTTCTTTTTATGGGGCTATTTGAAAAGCAAAGTCTACGTCAACAAACCAGCCACCCTCCAAGAACTCAAAAACAACATCATTGCCGAGATAAATGCCATAGAACCGACCATGTTGCAAAACGTCATTGAAAATTTCGACCATCGCGTGGACGTCTGTAAATCCAGTCGTGGTGAACATTTGAGCGATATTATTTTTGATACATAAATGGTATAAATGAACCTTCAAAATAAAGTACCCAACTTGATTTGAATATCAATCTTTCTTGTTTTAATATGCGTTTACTTTCCTGCGTCCGTTTTGGACAACCCTATGTAAGGGTTTTGACGAGTGTAACAATTTTTATCAAAATTAAATAATGGCAGTTAACTAGATGCTCAAATTTCATACACTTTAGTATTTGGTAATTGCCTGAAACATGGCCAAATTTTTGTAATCAAAAAATACACAATTATTTTGAATGATTTCGATTAACTTTTTGGCAAGGCAATCTAAACAGTAATTTAAGACATATATGACTAAACGAATATTGTATCAAAGTGTTAACATCGGTTTGTAAATGTTTGTACTTGCTATCTCCTTTAGACAAAAACTACGCATTAACTGTATCATCTGCAAGTGATTGAATAATGGAATTATTCACAGTTGTGTTTAAATCAAAATTATAAAATAAAAATTCTGCTAGTATAGAACCTTTTGTCTAATAAATCACACTTTCAAAAAAATTTACTGCTAATTTATCAATACCAATATAACTACGTTTCATAAGTAAAACATCGTCGTTTTTTCATTGATATTTTAACAGTTTTAATTGACATTCAATATTATAGAAAATGAACATTTCCGAGAACGTGACTTAAGTATCGCAACCTGACACTCGGGATAGCCTTAATTTCTGCTATACACTCTATCATTGATTAACTTATTCTACCTTAATACATCGTACACTGGCGCCCGAAAAGGATCTCAAATAAACTAGTATCATCAATGAGAGAGTAGCAGCAAAAATGAACGTAGAAATCCACTTTAAAAACTGTTAAGAACACTCTATTTTCAAAGTGGTTTTCCAAATTCTCTGTTGTTTGCTTCTATTTCCCAACAGATGGTGCTAGGATCTTTCACATCTCTTTTAGGACGTCAGAATACAGTATATGGTTGGATATCTTCAGGTAGAATACGTTAATCAATGCTACCAATTAGAATGGTGGTCTCTGCCTCCCTCAAAAGACCTTGAGACGCCACTGGCGTTCACTCATTGACATATTAATGCTCATACCTCTTAACATATATATTATATGGGATGACTCTTTATCAGCAGCACTAAAATCTAATGGATTATCGGCTGGGCAATTTGGTGATTGTTACGAAATTATCAAGGAATGTGTATCTTGATGCGCTTGGTTGAAATCTCCCTGATTCTAATTAATTTAATGATCAGTTTGATCAAGGAGGATAACTGCGAAGAAAACTGGAATACGTATTAAATATGCAAGAACGAGTATACAGGGTGGACCAGTTGTACATGTAAATGTGTGCGAATTATTGCTCCTAGACAGAAGCTTGCTAGTACATTACATACCTTGTTGGAGAAGTATGTCATTATTGGCCGAGGTATGTATAGAATTTTTCTCACTACTAACTATGATATGTTTCCACATTAAATTTGATTAGACTTTGAAATATAGCGTACTTGAGAATTTCCTAAACGTGTGGCAACATTGTCCGAATAATGCACACGTAATGTCTGCATCTCAGAACGGTGCGTAGGAGACCTCTGCTGCTACGTGATCGAGTCCGATAAAGATAGAAGAAGCACGGGACTTTGAAGCTGTCAAAATAATGAGGTAAGTAAATAAACCAGCAGTAATAATTTCAGTTATAGAATAGACTCTGTATTTCCGTGTAAAAATAGTTAAATATAGCATTGACAATTATGTGTCCAATAAGCCAAATATATGAATGGCGCTTTCTCAGGTTAGTGGTGGATACATGTGTATATTTGAAAGCCAAGATCCCATAGTTGCAATCAACTTGAAATTTGACTTAATTTCATAGCCCAAGACCGTGCTTATATACTAAGTGAGATATAAATCCAAACGCCCAGTTTAAATGGTTTTATTTTAATAAAATTTTGTATAAGTACTTAATGAAGCATAATAAGTAAATGATAAAAATTTCAAAATGATTGCACTGCTTTAAAGCCCTTTGACCTTTAATAATGTGTGGATGCACCCTGATGTGCTACGCATTCTCCAACGCGCCTAGGCATGCTCCTGATCAGGTGGTCAATGGCCTGTGGTATCTCATTCCAGTCAACCACCAACTCCTCTCGAAGTGCTTCTAGAGTCTGAGGAGGACGTTGCAAATTGAGCAATCTCCTACCAATCATATCCCACACGTGCTCAATTGGGGATAAGTCGGGAAATCTTGGTGGCCATGGTAACAATGTGACATCATTATGTTGAAAGAAGTCTATTGTGACTCTTGCAACATGTGGTCGGGCATTATCTTGTTGGAAAGTTGGATCTGCCAGGGGTAAAAGATGGGGTTCTAGAACTTCGTGGATATAACGCTGCGCGTTCATGTTACCTCTGATGAAGATTAAAGGTAACCTGGAACCATAAGCTATAACACCCCAAACCATAACTCCAACAGTGTGATGAACATGTCTTTCAACAAAAAACTGTGGATTCCTCCTTTCACCACGTCGCCTTCTAACCCTGGCACGACCATCGTTCATGCCTAAACAAAATCGAGACTCGTCAATAAAGACAATGTTCCATTCCTGATCCCAAAGTGACCGTTGTCTGCACCACTCAAGGCGATTACGTCGGTGTTCTCGAGTTAAATAAAGGGAGGACCCAGTGTGGCCGGTATGAAAACAAGCCAAAACTTCTCATTCGTCGGTAAACACTTCGCAAGCCAATAGGTCTTCCGTGTTCTGCAAACCATTCATTTGCAATGGTTCTGGTAGTGGAGAAACGGTCCCTTAAGGCCAATAATCTTAGGCGGCGATCTTCACGGTCTGTTGTTCTACGGCGGCGTCCAGTGCCCCTTGCTCTTTGCGTACGGCCTTCTCGAAGCCATGCCTGACAACACCTAACCACAGTGTCTACACTTCTTTGCACTCTAACTGCAATTGCCCGAAAAGAAAGTCCAGCTTCCCGAAGTCCCACTATACGGCCCCTATCAAACTCACTAAGTTGACGAAATCGTACAGGTCTCCGTACTCTAGGCATCGTAACCGATCGTAAAGGATGTCAAGAACCAAAATCCGCCAACGTTGATTCTTTACTGCGGCTGAAATATTCATTTTTAGAGCGTTCGTGAATTAAAAAAAAGCAGTATAAAAACCTGATAAAGCTGAAAATTTTTTCACTTGTTATTTACAGTAAGATAAATACATTCACCAACTTTTATTAAAATAAAACCATTTAAACTGGGTGTTCGGATTTATATGTCAGTATATACCCCGACTCTGTATTACAAAACACATAACGGAATTAAAAATATATATATATGTGAAAAATTAAAGCTTCCGCCTTTTGTTGGGTACTTCGACAAAATTTAAGCAAAGAGGACTCTTTATACTTTTTTTAATTCTCTCTAGCTTTCAATGGACTTTGCCATCATCATCAGGAGCTGCAATTACAATGATAACAGTAGCAACAAAAGTGTAAAATGAATTTAAATTGAATCAACTTACAGTAGTATGTGAGGATGTTGCTAATTGTTGTTTTCGTATAGGATGAGGGAAACGTCCAGTAACATGGTGAGAGCTGGATACATGGTACAATGGTTAAAATTATATAAAATATGACAAGACAAGTTAAAGACAGATTAAAAATTATTTAGAAAACATTAGAGCATTACGTCGTGAAGTCACTTGATGATTGCACAAAATGGTGGTCATGGAATAATGAGTGAGATGAACCTTTGACAGAAGGCCGAAGGTTGTCAATGTCTGTGTTGAAAGATGGAACGAATTGACAACCTGTCTTTAACTTGTCATATTTTATATAATTTTAACCATTGTACCATGTATCCAGCTCTCACCATGTTACTGGACGTTTCCCTCATCCTATACGAAAACAACAATTAGCAACATCCTCACATACTACTGTAAGTTGATTCAATTTAAATTCATTTTACACTTTTGTTACTACTGTTATCATTGTAATTGCAGCTCCTGATGATGATGGCAAAGTCCATTGAAAGCTAGAGAGAATTAAAAAAAGTATAAAGAGTCCTCTTTGCTTGAATTTTGTCGAAGTACCCAACAAAAGGCGGAAGCTTTAATTTTTCACCTAACTGGTCTAGACGACAATGACCACGTCTCAAGTTATATATACATATATATATATATATCCTCAAGACTTGAACCTTATGCTTCATGTTTCTTGATCAACAAAGCACATCACAACTATAGTTTTTCTAGAGTTACTTTTCAGAATTCCAGTTGTATTTTTGTGCAGTTTTAATTTTTCGTGTTTGTTATACAGTGTTTTCTTATTGATCTTGTGTATATTTTTTCATATTGATTATTGCTTTTTCATTTTATTGTTGACAAATGTCATTATTTATCTTTTTCTGCAAACACGTACTGTGTACTTAGCAGTAAATGCAGAATTGAATTGCATTAAGCCCTCTACATGTCTGTCGAAACCTTCTTACCTGATCAAAGTCCCGATCCTTCGGAAAAAACATACTCTTGTACACGTTGTTTTTATCATCGTTACTGGACAGTACAGCCTTAGCCAGCAAAGTCTTGTAAAACTGCGTCGGCAAAAGAAGCTGATTATTATTATACGAGTCCAACTTATTCACGAACTCGTTATACTTCAAACTCGTCTTGTACAAACTCAGATTCATGTCATTGTTGTTTCCCGTTGAGCAACTGTCACTGCTGTCAGAGCTATCCATGGCCGCCTCAGGAATTGGCCGGATGCCTGTCATCTTGACGTCTTCTTCTTCTTCTTCTTTAGACATTTAGCACTTTTTTGTCTTACGCACTGAATACAACACACTTTTTAGGTAATAAAATATATTCTTCTATGTTAGGAACTTGTTAGAATGTTATTCGAGGAACTTTATTGGTATATTTGTGTTTGATGGGGCTTACTTAGCCCATAGTTTTTAGATTTTTGTTACCAGTCACAAATTGTTCATGGGTATCACTGATGTGGCATCTCATTTTCTATTGTTTGGTACAAAGAACATGCTGTATTATGAAGAGCTCCAGTTTGTGATGGATTTTCGACTGTACGATACGATTAAGCATCAAGGGGTCATAACCCTAACGCGAAGATTGCATGAACATTGGAAATCCAAAATTTGAAACGTTCCAAATAATCTAGAATCAATCGACCACTCAACCCTGTTTGAGATCTCCAGTAGAACAATTTTATCAAAATACTCGTATTATTGAAAATATCGGTTTCTCCTTTCGCAGCGTAATAATCACGTGACTTGAAGGAGCAGTCATAGCAACAAGGAAACACTGTTGCAACTAGTGTAACCAATTTAAAAAAAATAAAATAAATTCTTCCATAAAGGCCTACATATTGTTGTATTCATGCTGAATACTACAATCGCGTAATGTAGCAAAAATGTAAGGAATTTTCAAAACTATGATTAAAATCTGGACTATCGCATCATACTAGTACATACAAACCCATCCTAACATCTGAAAATAGATAACTACTCAAACAAATTGAGGGAACAATAAAAAAATTCAAATTTTTCGGTGATTTTTTATTTTAGGGTAGAAGCCTAAATGCCGGAACACCGCGGCTGCTATGATGATCCCAAAGAAATTTTGAACTGCCTAAGGTTGGTAGAACTGGGAAAAGCTTCCTCCCGTAGATTGTTCCGCAATCTCGACACCCTCGGGACAAAGGAGCGGTCGTATCGGCCAGTTCTGGATGTACGAAGTTCGACACGGTTAGGATGGGACGCCAAAGTCAGGCGGGTCTGTCTGGGAGGCACATCGCGCGGCGGCATCATGGTGTTTTTGAAATACTCCTATAAGATTTGACTGCAATCTTTGAGGATTTTTTTTGTTTCCTTAGTATTGATTAAAAAAAGTAAAATAAAAGTTAACTTGTTGCATTGTTTTGTAAAATCGGCCGCATTTTTTTAACTGCTGATGAAACGCTAATGTATTCAGGCTTTTTTGTACGTAAAATGTATCCACAATAACCCTGCCGGTTGGTCAAAATTTAAAGGAAACTAAAGAAACAGAATTTTTCAGCAAGACATCCCTTAATCTGGATAAAAGTGGAAAAATCATTTTTCTTCTTTTGTTGTCACTATTGGATATCTGTAACACCTTAAATTTGAAAAAAAAAACAATTGGAAAAATGTGATTCTTTTATTCACGGAAAAAACCAAAAATACTGACCAATCTGCCGTCGTTCAGGGTTATTGTAAATATTGTAAATCAAATACATCAAAATATTGATAACAGAATCCCTTCAATCTGCATTTTTGTTGATTTAAAGAAAGCTTTCGACACAGTTAATCACAAATTATTATTAGAAGCATTGGAGAGAATTGGTTTCAGAGGAAACGCGTACTCACTGATCGAAAGTTATTTGTCAAATCGCCCACAATCTGTGCAGATATTAGGATCATTTAGTAAAGAAATGTATATTAAGTGTGGTGTCCCACAAGGAACTGTCTTAGGTCCGCTGTTATTCAATATATATTTAAATGATATTTTCCAAATTAATTGTGTTGGCAAAATAACTAGTTTTGCAGATGATACTGCAATATTATATGAAGGCACTGACTGGTCTGATCTGAAAAATGTAATTGAAAATATTCGGTGGTTTAACAGTAGAAAATTAAGCATTAACTACTCTAAAACACATTTTTTACCATTTGGATCTTATGCTAAATTACACAAATTTCTCCTTCAATATTAATGATCAAAAAATGCAAACTAATAGAGTGCCCAACATAAAATATCTTGGAGTGGTCTTGGATTCTCACTTACGATGGGACATCCATGTCAATTATATTTTAAAGAAAGTTAGATTTGTATCCTACAAAATTAAATACCTTGGGAATATATTGACAGAAAAATATCTTCGAACATTATACCATGCACTGATTGAGCCTCATCTCACATATGGTATATTAGCATGGGGAGCTGCATGTTCCTCACATATCTATAATTTAGATGTTTTTCAAAAAAGTATTCTAAAAATGATATTTAAAAAACCGAAACTTTTTCCCACTGAAAAATTATACGCAGATGTTCGAATGTATGATATAAGACAGCTTTATTTCTTACACAGTATCACTCACTACCATAAATTTGTAAACACCGACCGAAAAATTAAACATAATCATTGTACCAGGTACAAAATTCGTGGCACAGTAGTTCCTCAACCGCATAAATCTATAATGCAGCGATCATATCTCTATTTAGCGCCTAAATTTTATGAAATTATACCTAAAAACTTAAAAGATTTACGTTTCGGAAATTGTTTCAAAAGAAATTTAAAAAAGTGGCTACATTCTATATCTAGGACTGAAATTCATAAACTCATAAATACGAACATCAACTAAATACATAATCTACTGTAGCCAATTTTTGTCCTTTTTTGTCATTTGCATTCTACAGTTTCAACTTAAAATATTGGTCCATGTACAGGCGATGCCTTCTATTGGGCCTGTTTTGATTTTATATTTACGTAGTCGTGCCATAAGTTCTGTCCCATGATAATCTCATGATAAAAATGAAACAAGATAGGATATATTTATATGAAAGATATTATTTATTCGACAACATTTTTAGAATTCATAATCAAACAGTTTTATTCAAAATGTCCCCCCTTGGCCTTCACACACTGCTTCAATCTCGCGGGCCACTCATCTATCACTGCACGCACAGCTTCCAAAGGAATAGCTGCCGCTGATCGGATCAAATCCGCTTTCAGGGACTCGATATTACGGTGGGCTTTGGAGCAGGCCAACTGCTCTAGCAGGTCCCACAACTTGTAGTCTAAAGGATTGAGGTCCGGACTCCCTGAGGGCCAATCTTCCGCAGCAATGAACTCTGGCACATTGCTTTCCAGCCAGCGCTGCGTACTCTTAGCCTTGTGAGCGGGGGCGGAATCCTGCTGGTAGACCCAGTGTTGGTTGGCAAACAATGTACCACTTAAAGGCTTGACGATAGGATCCAGTATGTCGCTCTGATAGTTTGCCGCTTTTGTTTTCACGCCCTGTTTACAGAAATGGAGCTGAGTGACCCCTTCGTAGGACACCCCCCACCAAACCATGACTGACGCAGGGTGGTGGCCTATCTCAACTCTCGGAATGATCTCCGAAGCTTCCTGTGAACTCCTTGCATACACTTTGTCATTTTGTCGGTTGAATTTTTCTTCTATGGTGAAGATTTTCTCATCCGTGAACAAAATCTTTCGGAATCCCCCAGCTGCGTACCTCTCCAAGAGCTTCTTGGATCTTGTCGCCCTGATGTGTCGCAAGGTGGCCGTAAGTCGCTGGCCCGTACGTCTCCGGTAAGCCCCTAGCCCTAGGTCTTGTTTAATGATGCGCGACATCGTCCGGACAGGAATCTTCATTTCCCTGGATAGGATCTTCTGCTTCCGGAGTGGATTCCTTTGAATCCTGGCTTTTACGGCTTTGATGGCTGCTGGAGTCCTTACTTGACGAGGTCTTCCGCTTCTTGGCCTGTCATCAACAGAGGACGTCTCATTGTACCGCTGAATGGTCCTAGACACAAATTTACGCGATATTTGAAGGCCGCGTAAGAGTTCAAAAATCTGACTAGCACTGTGATTACACTTATGTAAAGCTATCACTGCAATACGGTTCTCTGCCTTGCCCCACTCCATCGTTATGCTTCGAGAGATCAATACAAACTGAGGTATATGTAATTACCCGAAAAGCGCTTAATCAACTGACACCACAATGTAAACAATCGGACAAGTATTAACAGGTCTACACTTGTTTGAAAACGAGGGACAGAACTTATGGCATGACTACGTATTTACTCATATTGTTTGTTATCTTTGTACATTGAGTGAATAAATAGTATTATTATTATTATTATTATTATTATTATTAGCGGTATAAAAATCTAAAAACATCAGCCTCCTCATTAGTAGTTCCAAAAATGCGGTCGATCATTCAAAAGTAGCTTTTTTGACGTTTTTAAAGTCAATACTAGGGGAAAAAATCTTCTAAGATTGCAATCAAATCTTATAGGAGATTTATTCCACTCTTCGGAAATAGCGTTACGTTCTCTGTTCGATCACTGGTTACCAAGATCAGTGATCGATGACAGAAGGATAATTTTTTATCCAAAGTCGTATCAATAACACTGGACAACAAATTTTAGTTTTTTAATTGTATCTTGTGGGAAAAGTGCACTTCTTTGTTAATTTTGGGGCGCTAAATCCAAAAATGACAATGAAATAAAAAAATTAGTTGCGGTTTAGAAAAAAAAACTTTTTATTTTTAAGGATATATTAAAAAAAGTAACAAGATTCATATACTTATAAGAATCACTATATGCGCTGTGTTTTTGCTGTTCTTTTATGGATCGTTTCTGGAGCATCTCTACCAAGAGTCCAACAGTAGTCTGCAAGCATGGAAGGATTCCACTTTCCCTGGTACCTTTTTTCCATTGTTGAAATATCCTGAACGTTCGCCCTGCTCATCACTTACGGCTCCGCAATTGTCAGGAAAACAGTCCAGGTGTGAATGTAGGAAATGTATCTTAATCATATCATATTGAAAAATGGTTCTAAGTCTTTGTGGCGTTTACGAAAAACACATACCGAAACATCGTCTTCTAACAAGTTCCACTGCTGCAGTCTTGATCCAAGTAACTCTGCCTTACATTTTGGAAGTTCTAAATCTCTTACAAGATCGTTTAATTCTGACTGTGTTATTTTGTGCGGTTGGTGGCATGACGTGCTCGGTATAAAATCACGATCTCTTGACGTTGATGG